ACGTTACCTCTTGCACCTCGTGTGCAGATTCAGTCACTTTGGATCTAGTGGCAGTGGTTGATCGAGGCTTCTGACTTAGGAGGTTATTGAGGTATTTGTACGACATTCACAGGCCTTGGCTCTCCACCTAACTTTCCAGTTGTATTTAGTTGTTCCCTTAGACATTATATTAGATTATGTATTTTCCTTAGACACTCATGCACTCAGTGACACCGCGGTTTTGGGCTGGATTGCATCTATTCTTGGAATTTCTTATGTTTCAAATAGTTCTTTAAATTGTTAAAAACTTCCGTAAATATTTTCAAACTTATTATTATCATGTTGATTGTTGAGTTGAGGCTGGCCTAGTTTCACGATAGGCGTCATCACGATGGGTCAGGTGTTGGGTCATGACAAAAGCATATAGAGATGATCAACAATAACATATTAGAGCTAGAGCTATTTAACAAGAGATAACACAATAAACATAATATACAATTAAGCAATCAAAAGAGAAGAAAGGTTGAGATTCACTAACCTTTTTTTGGGCAGCAAACCAAACCAAACCAAAGAGCTTCTTATTTTTATTCGTTAATAATCTGAACTCAAACTTGAATAGTAGGCAAACTCGGAACCGGAGAAGGAAAAGGAAATCAGTGAGCAATCTAGGGTTTAATTCTCTTTTGTTTTTAGTGTTGTATTATATGGTAGGTTGTTATTAGGTGAAAGTATTGAAAGCCCTAATTTATAGTGATCATTGAAGCCATAGGGTTCAACAAATTCAAATTAATAGTGGAAGGTGACAGAGTGATGGTGATGTGAGCAAGACGGGTGAAAATCATAAAAATACAGAGGGGAAAAATAATAGTGATTTTACCTGAGCATGAGAATAGAGTGAATCGACCGTTTATGGGCGAGAATCCACCAGTCAAGGCTTCAATATCCAGTGATCACTATATTTTACCTATGGACATTAAAGATAATGATGAAGCCTGAGAAAACTCCATGCATGCCTCCAATTTGAAGGGTGAGAGGAAGAATTGCTGAGTTTCAGTTTGCACGATTTAGGTCTTAAGGTTTGGATTTGGGCTTTAAAATCTGGGTGATAAAAGGGGAAACAAAATTGGCAGGATTCACGACCATAGCGGACAATAGGGATGATTCTAGGTTTGGTTTGTGACCTTGCGTAAATTTGTGCAAGGTTTATGACTAATTTAAGTTAATGAGCTGAGAGAATAGAGAGTGAAAGGGGAAAGGGGTGGCTAAGTTGTATGGGGGAATGATTAGGGTTTGGGTAGAGATAGGTCATCTTTGGGTTTAAACGTGTGAGGGATATGGGAGCCGTTGGATCTTTAGATCAACAGCCCTGATAAATTCATGTTTTAACATTTTAAACTAACGAAATATGTAGACCGTTAGATCTCTGAGTTTTGATGGTTGAGATTGAGTCCAAATATGTTTTCTAAAATTAAAAAAAGGAGATGGAACGTGGGTCGTTGATCAAATAAGCGGACGACTCATATTAAATGTGTTTTTGTGTGAGTGGTAAAGACGGGTGATGTGGCAGAATTTGATTGGCTTAGAGAGGGTTTCTTGGATTGCCAATGTGGAGTAGATGGGGTTGTGTGGATTGGAATTGTTTGGGCTTGGTATTTTAGGCTGAAATAATTTAAAGAATAGCCACTCTGTATTTAATTGGGTATTTGCAACTATATATTTTTTAACCCTTTTATAATTAATTTAAATGAACTAAAATAATTTTAATAAAACGTAATAGAATTATAATCATCAAATACACTACTAATTACTATAATTAATTAATTATTTATAAAAATATACTTTTTTCCTTCAAATTATGACATTAATTTCGAATGAAATAGTAGGCTAATTAACTAAAAATTAAGGAATGATGTATTAACCAATTATAAAACCTATGTAATGTATAAAGGTTATTTTTATAGTCTCAAAATAGTAAGTATGATATATCTTATAATTTTGTAATACCAAATTATTAATTTTCAACACTATTAATTACTAATTTTTATAAAAATAGGTATTACTCATTAGAAAATATTTTTAACACATTTATTGCAAATCATTAAGTAAAAATAAATTAATTTTAAAAGGGAGGATCAAAATTGATCGTCAACAGCTGCCCCTTTTGGACCGGAGACGATGAAAGAATTTTCGGGCAAAGAAATCAAACCAAGGCCAATTTTGTCACGACCTCAGGCGTACATTGCATAAATAACATATGAGTTTAAGAAAGATTATGAGTTGTAGAATTAGGAGTTAAGAAAGATTGTAGGAGAATTTTGGAGAGTTGGGGCCGAATTCTAGCTTTGAATTGGTTACATACGTCGGGCTTAACGAGGATCAGGCTTCATGTAGTTCTGGAGTGATTATTTGGAGGAGGCACTGCTTGCAGGAATTGCCCCAGTATCGTATTATGATGATACTACGAGACGGAAGATTTGGTACCCATGCTAGCTCTGAAATATGGCTTGATTTGAAAGACTTGAAGAATTAGAGTTTCACTAATTGTATTTGAGTTTGAGCTTGGATCCTTGGCCCGCTTATTGTTTTGTTGTCCTTCGTAGACTTGTAGCTTGGTTTGCTACTTAGAAAAAGTTCCATGTTGCGATGTATGTTCTTATAAAAATAAAATACACACATACCCTTATATCGTAATGCGGATATGCTAAGATGTGATGTAAATGATGATGCCTAGCTGCCGACTAGCCGTTATTTGGGATTGAGACGACGAGATACTTGAATTTTACTCGATTGTTAGCCGGGTTGTATACCGTTCTGCAATTTTTGGAGCATTATATCTCCTCGCGTTGGGAGTGTCTCCGCGTGATGGGAGTAGTTGACTTGTAAGTAGAATGTATCTCCGCGTGATGGGAGTAGTAGCATTGAAATGTAAAGTATCTCCGCTTGATGCGATCAGTTGCATTGAAATGTAAAGGATCTCCGCACGGTGGGAGCAGTTGCATTGAAATGTAAAGGATCTCTGCACGATGGGAGTTTCTAACTCGAAAATGTAATCATGCTTGTAAGCGGCATGGGCAAACTTGCATGTGTTTCTGACTTGAAAATGTAATCATATTCCCTCAGTTGTTTGCCCCGGGAATTAAACCAGTCAACATGTTATGTTGCAAAGAGTACAAGAGAACTAATTGTATCAGGTTCCTATCTGGTAATCCATGAAGTTTGACAAATCATCAAAATCACACTCGCATAACTTATCCGTATTAATTAAGTACTTTTTTTTTGTTTGGTTTATTCTTTCAAAATTTTCATACATGAAATTTTGGTCCTTCTTTTGTTAGCGTAAAATCTTATATGATTAAACACAATATGCATATTAAAGCTAGTAGCAGCGAATAATGTACCATATAGTCAATGGGTTCAACTGATCCCAATATTTCAATATTAAATATAGATATAAATTTTAAAAATTAATTTCGAAATGTTAATTTCCAAAGTCTATGAGTGCAATAGTAAGAACTAAAAGTTGAACCCACAAATTTATATTTTGGATCAATCTCTTTACAATAGTATACCCATATTCTCAAAATTCTAGATCCGTCTCTAATGAGGCCCTCGGATTGGGATCCTGTCAATCTCTATTTTTATTTTCTTTGATCTTGTACATATTACTATTAATAAGTAAAATATCTTACTTAAAAACTGGTTTTAAGTAACATTTTTCATTGAGCCGCCCTTTTCTTCTCCTTCGTCGTTCAACTAATCATGCATTCTTGATACGTCTTTTTTTAGTCACTCATTTACCGATGAAAAAATTCTCATTTAAAGTTTATCGGTTGCTTTTCTGAACATGTAAATTAGTTGGTTGTACCAATCACGGGCCGAATGGTTTTGGCTTCATTATTGATTTTTCTTTTGCGAAAATTTGGCATCATTGTTCACATGATTACTGGGGTATTTGATTTTGTATTTTAAGGGGATTTATATTCACAAGTTGTCAAGTCACAAGTGATCAAATGGAAGCATCCATTTGGTTTTGTCTCATTTAGACATTGAATCAGTTTGAGTCACACCAGCTAAAACCATTTCTATATATTTAACTTTAATACAACTATTAAGCATTAACTTAAAAGATTTTATTCTTATACTATGTTATACCATGTCATTTGTACTTTCATGTGAATTTCGTTGTACGTGAAAATAAACCTTAAACAACAATGCAAATTGGAGATAATTTGAACATACTTTGGGTATACATTAATCTTATAGAAAAGGATAATAATATGTATTACATAATTAACATAGGATATAAAATTTACAGTGTACTCTTTATATTTTCAGTACTAATATCATATACGTTGTACATGAGATTTCACTTTGTTATCTAAAATCTTTCTCAAAAAAAAAAAAAAAAAAAAAAAAAAAAAAAATACCGATCTTGGCCACATTTCCTAGTTTCTTCCCTTTTGAGTGCGGGCGTGTTCACATATATGTACAATCAGACCTCTCTATAACATCATCCCTATATAACAACACTTCACTATAAAAGTCATGTTTTTTTGGAACCAAATTTCATGTTATGTTATAATATATGTTCTAATTCGTATTTCGTATTTCGTATCCTGTGTTTCATATTTCGTATCTCCTATATATTGTTGTTATTTTATTACGCATTTTTATGGTACTAATATATTATCTCCTATTGCTTTTTTTTGAGCCTTTTGAGCCGAGGGTCTCCCGGAAACAGCCTCTCTACCCTTCGGGGTAGGGGTAAGGTCTGCGTACATATTACCCTCCCCAGACCCCACTTGTGGGATTATACTGGGTCGTTGTTGTTGTTGTTGTTGTTGTTGTTATAATATATGTTCTCTATAACAACAATTCACTATAACATACAAAAATATTCGAAACAAACGAGGCTGTTATAGAGAGATTTGACTGTATATACTAAGACAAGCCGGATAATTTTAAGTCATAAAACAGTTAGAGAAATAGAGAATTCGGAGATGCACAGAAAACTTTACAGGTATAGAATTTGGAATATGAAATTGACAATACGTGCTTTTAAAACATACAAATGGGAAAAAGAATTACCACATATATGAATTATCAATATATGTCACTCTCTTTTTAATTTGCTTTTTATATTGAGTTGGGAAATCAATTCAACAAAGCCTAGGTAAAGCTCTATTATGTGAAGGGGTTTTCACCATTCTTGACATTTGGCCTTTCATCTCCCGGCAAACTTTCTCCAATTCCACAACTTTCCATTGCATTCTTTGCAGATTTAGTCTCATATGCTCACTCTCTGCATCTTCTCCAACATCTACAGGGGAGAAATCACTCGCACAAGTACTAGAGCTCTCACTCTTATTTTTCTTGTACAAAACCATTTGAGTACTATTTTTCATGCTGCTAGGATTTTTAATATTCTTCTTTTTTGTATCTTTTTCCTTCACAAAATTTGAACCCTGAGAAGCAAGTGCCTGAACGGCAATTCTTGGTGGGATTCTGGGGTTTTTTGCAAGGTCTTTGCATGCTTCAAGGCTTAGCTTGTCATAGTTTTGACATCTGCATAGTCTTGATCTTTCTTCTAATGGAAGGGCTGGATGAGACTGCAATAAAATGTGCATGACACCATGTTATTTTTAATTGCAACTATCATAATTTACCGTAAATAAGTGTGCATGAATGAGTTGTAGTCAGTCTTGGCATGTAACCTATGCTTGACTATATTTAGATAGTCACGGGTAACTCACATTCACATATGCTCATATTGTTTGATAAATTTGCAAGTTACTTTTAGTAACGGCTCCTTTAAGGAGGACATCACAAAGACAAAAAGGAGAAAAGTAGACATAGCAAATAAAACGCAAGGTGATTTTACTTCTCTCTATCTAAATCTTGATAAGAAGAGTTACTCCGTAATTATGCTAATAACGATAATAAATATTCAATGAAATAATTGACAGGCATACAAATTGGTCATCACACCACCTTATACAAAATGAAAAAGAAATATTAGCAAAATGACAAGGGAAAATCTAATTGAAATTAAACTACCTACACAATTTCTGGTACAGATCTCCCAATGACTTCAATAAGTACTGTCTGTCTGTCCAAGAATAATATTGGTATTAGAGCAACAAGTAGTAGGTCTTCTTGGTCCTACTCCTACCTAGACAGATAGGACCTACCAAGAGAGGTAAGTCCACAAATTAAAACTCATTGGGTTGGAAATGTTCTAATTCATAAGTTCCTGTAACAACCTTCAATTAACCCTACTACTTATCGTTCTAACAATAATAACTGCGTTTCAATTCCAAACAAATTAAAATTACTATATAAATCTTAAGTTCTCTATTTAAGCTCAATTTATGATCCTACTACTTATCGTTTAATTTATAAAAAACCATCATTTCAATACTTCTATATATATATATATGTGTCTTCTCAAACCCAAAATTATGCAAAGCTTCCTTAGATACATATTGTTGATTTTCCAATTAATAATGCTGAAAAAGTACCAATAATTTAAAAAATACTGGTGTTTTCCTTTTTAGACTGTCGGTTTAGTACCCTGCCTAGCATCCCCCTTTTCCCCTCCAAAAAGAACAAAGAGAGAAAAAGGACAAAAAAATTATGTTTCACCTTCTTCAAAAAATGACCATTGGTAATTTAGTACTCCCAGATGACAGCTAAAACTACGAGGAAATGCAGCAATTATATATATTCAGCAATACAGAGTAAAATGAAAATGTACTAGTCATTTAGCTAAAGCTTAAAATTCCACTTGTAGTACTTTGTGGGACTACTGTTCAATAATGCAAACCTTGTAAGTTTAGGTTGTACCTTTTACATCTTTTCCCCACTAAACATTTAAACAATTTCCACCACATGAAAAACTAAATTTCCTTGTTGGGAAAACCTCATTTTTGTCTTATCCCATATATTTTAGCTCTTGTCCAACAACATGCTATCTAAAAAAGCATCCAAAACTAAAGTAACCAGTAGCTAGCATTTATGAAACTCATTGACAAGAAGTGGAAAAAGAATACTTATTCTAGTTCAAAGTAAGTGATTTTTTGGTTGTTTTACACATTTTAAGAAATTCACCTTTTAACATTAATTAGCAATGAAATTGATCATATTAACCTTTAATATTTTTTCATATAAATACTCCTAACACGTACTCCAACATTAATTAATCAAAGGGCAATGTAGGAAAAAAATAATTAATTTATTCTTGAAAGCTAGAAAAATCACTTATTTTTGAACCACAAGAAAAAAACCAAAAAATCACTTATTTTGGGCCGGATGGAGTATTTAGTAGTCCCTCCTAAGAAAGATAAAAAGAATTTGAAACTTATGATTTAAAACACGTTAAATGTTCCTATAAATCATTTCAACTAACTGTAAAATAAAATTTTTAAAATTAATTTGTTCTTAAATAGATAAATGTGTTGTTCTTAAAAAAAATGTGTCACTTAAATTGAGATGGAGGAGCGAGCACTAATTACCTCAAGATAGATATCAATGGCTCTGTAGACCCCATCGAAGCTATCCCTTGCATAATCTGGCAAACTCTCTGCTATGGCGAGGAACTTTGAGATTTTTAGGCTTTGGTCAGGTGCTATCTCTCTCAAGTAATTATCTATCAACCTTCCAACTTTCATCATTCTTGGTATACAAACAACTTTATCATGATGAACAAACAATCTAATCAAACTCACCACAAGATTAACATCATAAGCACCCCCATTATGCCCACTAATTAGCAAATCATCTAAGGTTGCTTGATCAAGCAATCCCCCTATTAATTTCTCTAATCCAGCCCTGCATTCTCTGCTAAGCCCAAATCCAGAAACAATTCTCAGTACCCAAAACAGACTTCTGCAAGAAAATGCTGTCTTTCCCATCAAAACCACTCCATGAACTGCTGTATCTGCTAGACCAGTGTACTCTGAGCTTGAAATCAGATTGTTGTTATTACCTTTGCATTGGGTTGCTGTTTTCAAGTAATGAAGAAGAAATCTAGTGAGGACTAAGTTGTTGTTGTCACTCCCAAAAGCCCCTAAAGTCTTGAGAAACTGTTGTATTATTTTAGGGGATAAAATGGTTAAGTCCTCAAACCACCAAGCAGCTTTGTTTGATGATGAAGAAGAAGAAGGGGTTCTGAGGAAGAGGCCATTAGGAGTATCTGGAGAAGAGGATGATGAAGAGGACGAAGCAAAAAGGACACTAACATCAGAATTCTGAGCAATCTTGGCAAGAAGTGAATTCATGAGCTTCTGAATTAGTCCACAAGAATCTGCAAATGAGAAGAAAGATTCACAAGTCCTGAGAGATGTGAGAATATCAGCCCATGACCAGTCAAATAATCCTTCAAGAAAAGTCTCAGTTTGATGCAAGAGATTGCAAGAAGACAATTTCTCTGTCATCCCAAGAGAGACAGCACAGCAATGGAGGAGTGACACATTTGAGACAGTTATTATGATGCTGCCATTGTTGTAACAGAATCTTGAAACTAATTCAAAGCCTTCAGCCCCACCTGGGAAATCATCAATCTCAATGCCTGATTTCCTTATCTGATTTCTTCTCTTCTCTTCCTTTATTATCTTCCTCAACTTCCCACAGAATCTTGAAAGTACTTTCTGCAACACAAGAGGGCAAAAATATGTATATATGTATATATATACTTGAGTGAAAGAATGAAAAATAAGAGTTTCAAGATTAATGGTTCTTTTTTACCTCGTGGAGAAAGAATGTTTGTTGGCCATTGACATGGATTTGCAGATCACATAGGTCTGGCATGGCTGCTTTGCATTGACTGGGAACCAAGACAATGAAAAAGAAAATTAGTGCTTTAAATTTAGAAATTGGCAAATGACAAGTGCTCTCACACTGAACCACCTGGATACATGTGAAAGAATTTAGATACTCCTATAGATGTGTGTATATAGTTCAATCCCTTTTTAGTGATATGGGTGTGTGTTTGGATTCTTGGTAGGGTTTGATTTTTTTTTNTGATTCCTAGCAGCATCACGAGTTAAGTTCTGTGTATTTTATAGCAGCAAATGTACGAGAGACATATTGATTGGAGTATTTAAAAAACCCAACTATATTGATTCCGCTGTCCCTACTGCTTTTGTTTAAAATTTTGGTTATTTCTGTAGGAATATGTGGATTTTCTTAACTTATATATGCCAGTATTGTAAAGATTTTTTATGCGATGAGATTATCTCTACCTAATGTAGCACCTAATTTACCTTTCTCACTTCTTTTGAAGAACGACATATAAATTTTTTATATAAGTTAACTCAGATTTCTATTCGCCTTTTTATACACATTTAGATATTTATTGAATCCAAATATGTAGTGGACTCAAGAAATCTAATTTCTATAAAATGAGTTCGAGACTCGGAGGAACACTTTGCAATTGCATACACACAAACAACCGATCGTGACCTTAAACTTTAAGTGGTGTATTTATTTATTTATTTATTTTTTTGCGTTGACCTTAGGGTGTGTTTGGTATAAAGGAAAATATTTTTCATGGAAAATGTTTTCTTGAAAAACAAGTAGAAATCTTACTCATTTTCTGGTGTTTGGTACGCAAATCAAGGAAAATATTTTCTCAAGAGTATTCATAAATAATTTTGATACAATAAACATGAAGACATAAACTTTCGAACCAACAACCTTCCGAACCCACAAATTTCATAAACTTCTGAACAGCAAAACTTTCGAAACCGCAAAATTTCGAACCCGTAAACTCTATAATTTCTAAACCCGTAAACTTCGAAACACATAAACCTCCTAACTCATAACTTTGGAACTTGTAAAATTTTGAACTTGTAAACCGAAATATGAAAAAAGTAAAACTGAAAATATATAAAAAAAAAATAT